CTTGTCCAAAGTCCCTCTCCAGCTCTCTTGGAGCCCCTTAGGCACTGGAAGGTGCTCTAAGCTCTCCTTGGAGCCTTCTCCTCTCCAGGCTGAAAAACCCCAACTCTCTCAGCCTGTCTCCAAAGCAGAGGTGCTCCAGCCCTCTGGTCATCTTTATGGCCTCCTCTGGACTCATTCCAACAGACCCACATCCTTCTTATGCTGGGGAACCCAGAGCTGGATGCAGCACTCCGAGTGGGGTTTCAAGAGAGCAGCATAGAGGGGGAGAACCACCTCCTTTGACCTGCTGCCCACACTACTTTGGACGCAGCCCAGGACACGTTTGGCTTTCTGTGCTGTCAGGGCACATTAATGGGTCATGTTGAGCTTCTCATAAACAAACACCCCCAAGTCCTTCTCTTTGGGGCTGCTCTTCCTCCATTCTTTGCCCAGCCTGTGTTTGTGCTTGAGATTGCCCTGATTTAGGTGCAGGACCTTGCACTTGGTCTTGTTGAACTTCCTGAGGTTTTCACAGTCCCACCTCTCAGGCCTATCAAGGTCCCTCTGGATGCCATCCCTTCCCTCCAGTGTGTTGACTGCACCACACAGCTTGGTGACATCGATGTCACTGTCCATGTCCCTGACAAAGATGTGAAGCAGTGCCAGTCCCAGCCCTGACCCCTGAGGACACCACTTGTCCCTGTTCTCTGACTGGACACTGAGCCATTGACCACAACTCTCTGAGTGCAACCACCCAGCCAATTCCTTATCCACTGGGCGGTCCATCCATCAAATCTATGTCTCTCCAGACAAGAACATTGTGCAGGACTGTGTCAAAACTTTGCACAAGTCCAGGCGGATTTGTAGCTCGCGTGTTGAACACACAAATACGCAGGAAAAGTTTCTATCATTCCCTTGGTTTGGACCAAAATTTGAGGCAAGATATTTGAACAGATGAACTGATCTAATCCTAATCAACGACTCCTGTTTTTCACATAGCTCTGTATATAAGTAAATATTTCAAGGTATTGATCTCCTGCTTTGCATAAGAGGATAATGATTCTGAAACTCCCAGAGACAAATCTATATTCTACGTTTCAGAAGAATAGAGCCTGACTGAAAATATCACAGTTTTAGGAAATGCTACAACAAAATTAAATATAGATTGGACAACACCATTAACCCAATAAGAATAATATAACTTTTTCTTTACAGGGATGACATAGGCATCATGATGAAGGCAAAGTGAAATAGAAGAAAGGATAGGTGGAAGTTCCCTCCAAGACAGGTGCTGTCATTTTGTTTTGGTTAGTTTTTCATTACTGTTTCACAGCCTTGTGCTTAAGGATAAATATTTGTCAGATACATCAGCACAGCAGATACAAAATGTCCAGTTTAAAGTATTCCTAAATTAATACTATCACTTTTCTATAGATTTTCCTGCTCTTTGGACAAGATAGTTCAGCTGCATGTACAGACCTCAGGAAACCACTCTATCTGAAATTATATATCCCTTTGTTCAGAACTGTTTTTTCACACTTCTAATGCACATCATCTCTGGATGTTTAACAATGTTCTCAATCTAAATGATACAAGGAAATACAACTAAGTTTTAAGAACATTTACTTAGCGAAGAAAAAGACTCAATATCTTCTTAAATTACATGTACATTTAGGATGTTAAAATTCACCTGGCTGATAAATTGCATTGCTATTGTTACTGTGATTTGATCTACACTAAGGACAGGGATCCTTCTAATAGATTAGGAAAGGAAGAGCTGATACTAAAAAAAAGTGTATTTTTTCTGATGAAGTCTAAGTTCTATCAATTTAGAGTGTGGTTTTTAGGCTCTATCTGCAGATAAAGATGAACACTTCCAGATGGCAGCTTGTTCCAGTCCCAGACAAGGTGTCTGTCTCTCCTCACTGACTGCAAAGAGAGCTTGAAGGTAGGGTTTAGTGTGGGTGTTCTCCCTGTGGGCACCACCTTTGAAACAAGTTCCTTTTTATAGTTGAGGAGAGATAGTCATAAAGTCATTAGTGTAGATGCAATTTATCTTATCTCACAGAGGATGCTCACATTTGGTCAGAGGAATCACAGTCTCTGCTTTTAGATCACACTGATGTCCTGGGCCACCTTGCAAAGATTCCCATCTTCTTCTCCACAAGGATCTGGTCATATCTACTTGCTCTGAGAAGATGCCTTGGATACAGTACAGCATTTCTAGTGGCACTGGGTATCCAGTGGAGCCGATCGCTTCTAGGAGGATTCAGGTGAAGATTAAAGGACCTAAATTTAATACTCTACTTTTGTACTATGTGTTTAAGGTAATAGAATTATAGAATAGTTTGAGTTGGAAGAGAGCCTCAAAGTTCATCTTGTTCCAACCCCCCTTCCATGGGCAGGGACACCTTCTACCAGACCAGGTTTCTGAAAGCCCCATTCCCACCCGGTTTTGAACACTTCTCTTCTCTGAGCTGCATAGTCTCAGTTCTCTCAGCCTTTCCTCCTAGAAAGGGTGTTCCATCCCTCTAATCTCCTTCATAGACCTTTTGTAATAAGTGGTGATACAGCCAAAAGAGTCCAGGGGCCACTTCAGCTCTGCTCAGAGCCAACAGTCACACCTTGGTCACCTGGACTGTTTTTTGGGCTTACTTGATGCACTGACAGAGCTTCTGAGGGGAGGGAACAGAGCTCTAACCTGTATTTGTATTTCCCTCCTATCACTGAGACAGGCTCACCCTGAGTTGAGAGCACTGCTTAAATTATTCAAGACATGCCAGTCTTTGTGAACCCATTTCTACCAAGTGGTCCTGGGGAAAACCATTTGTAATATTTGTCAGCAAATAGAAGGTTGAAAGCAGCATCAGAGTCCTGGTTGATTTTGACTGCAGGATCTGCATGAGAATTTATATAAATAGGCAACAGACCTGATAGTTCGAGGATGGCACTTAGGATAAAAGTCATAATTCTTCCTAAGTGTGGGCACAATCTGTGCAGGGCACACAGAAACTACAAGTATCGGATGAGCACAAAGAATTACGAGTTTTAGACAAGTTCAATTCTCTGCTTCAGCCCAAACCTCAGGTACCAAGAGGACAAGCTGCCATTCAGGTTGGCCCAAAGGCCACCAAGGAGCATCCTGAGATCAATTGGAACATCTTTTAATGCTCACTGGAGGGGAAGGGAGTCAGTAAATTGTGGATTCCTGTGCTGCCTGGGACATCACACATTGCTGCCAATAAACATGTTGTGGTGTGAAATACGGTGCAGCGTGAGAATAATAATAACTTGGAGCAGAAGAAAGGCTATAAAAAGAGGGAGGTTGCTGTGGGAGAAATGGCTCAAAAAACTAAGTTTTCTGCTTTTGGCATAAACTTTTTTTCAGGTGGATAAATGGATGCCATGTGTTTGAGCAAGTGGGAATTTGTGTCTCAAAGAGAGGGCATTTTGTTGAGGGCAACAGTGACCATTACCATAAATGGCCACACTCTGGTATATCATCCAGCAAAAAAATACTACACATTAAAAAAATAAAATGCTATAGTTCTTGACTATAACTCACCAATATGTGTTTAAGGTGGAAGACATATTTTTAAACAGAAAGACATACAATCTGTGTTTAAGGGCACATAATGATACTGAAATCCACAGACTTTGGAAATTATACTTACCAATGCTACTGAAAACCGGCAACATGCATTTGACTTTCATTTGCCTTGTACTGCTTTAATTTTCTTGTTGTTGACGGCCATTCAGTGCACTGGTTTTGCTGCATCCTGTTAGGTTAAAGTGTGCTCTAACATTATGGATTTCCTCCTTGCGAATGTGCTCAAAGATCATGATAAGCCATATCCTAAATCCTTTAAAGCTAAATGGCATCTGTCTATTTATGCCAGGAATAATACCCAAAGAGAATAAAAGAGCACCAGGTTTGTTTATTAAACCTATTCAATAGGGATTTTGACTACCACAAGGATTAGGACATTTTCAAATTCAGTTTCATGCAAGTAATCTGTTGAAAAATCAAAATCTTATGACTCCAAAGAAAACTATTCCAATATTTTAACTACTTTATTATTGTGGTAGGATAGAACTTGGGTATATGTATTAACTCAGGTTACACAAGAACTCATGAGGTCACCTGTTCCAATCCACAAGGAAAAGCAGGGTTAACCAATATTAGGTTGGGATCCTTGGCACCTCTATTATAGTCAAAGCAACAATCCTGTTACAAAGTGTGTAGGTAATAACCTCTAAAAAATAGCTATAATAGTTACAGTTCCCTATATGTTTTGTTGTACTGGCATTTTCAAATGGAAAAATTGTTCTGTCAGAAAATTTCAAACTCTTTTTATTCACTTTCTGTCTTTTAACTGAATAAATGCTGAAAGAAAAAAAAAGAAGATAGAATATTAAAAAAAATGGGGAAAAAAGAGAAAAGGAATGGTTTAAATGTCTAAAATTTTTGGGGAGTCAATGAAAATATCTATGCTGAAAAATTGTCTCTTCTGGGACAGTTATCTTGTTATAAACATGTAGTTTAGGTGTTCAAAGGAAGGCAACCAAGCAAACTCCTGGTACTGCAGCCCAAACTTAATGTGTACTATGAATATGAAATTAGGAAGAGCAAATGCCAATCTCTTCTCACAGCAGCATCCTGCTGTGCTACTAGTAGGTGTAGATTAGTGATTTTATTTCCTATCTGTAATTTTAGGAATGCTGCAATCCTACTGAATGATACTCAGTTGCAACAGGAACACAATTCATAGTCATTGCCTGAATGTGACACAGAAAATACTAAAAAAAATTGGGACTTTCGTTTCTGTGCCCAAGAGAACACACAAATTGACACAAAGAGTCATATGGAAAAGTCAATTATAAGAATGATGAATTTTTTCAGTAAGTATCACATGTTCCCAGCACTCAATTAAGCCATTAGCTGGGAAATGGGGAACAACTGACTATAATTACCCTGCTAAAGGCTTCAAATCTGTTTGAAGGATTCAGTGCCATGGGCTTCACTGCACTGATGGTTGTATTTAGCTTATTTAGAGGAAAAATGTGTGCTGGAATTTAAGGTCAGTGTTAATAATATTTATTTTTGTATATGCCTAAATAAATAACATTATAAAATTTCACAAGGGAAATTGTTCAGAATCTAATAGGCAATAAACTAATAAAAATATACCATGATTCTTTAAAAATAAATATATAACATTTAAAATATTTGTATAATATAATACATGATATGTGATATGTATTAATATCACATTTATATTTAGAATATAAAATATTATCTAATGTGTATGTGTGCTTACATATAATGCATATACTTTTATATATGATTATATATGTAATATATAAAATTATATAGCATCTAAAATATATACACATATAGGTAACTCACAAAATTAATCTTACATTTTTTAATCCCCTGTTGTATTTCAGGAAGTGTGTGAGGATGTGTCATGTGAGACAGATACTTGATGTAGTTCTGATTAATTGTGGCAAAGTTTCTGAATAAACTGCTTTATGCACTTGAAGCAGGAATGTCTTATCCAGCTTACATAGTGAAGTGACTGTAACGCTTTGGAAATCACAATGGATTTTTCTAGAGCTTGTCTGAGCATTGAGAGTTACAAAGAAAATCCATGCAGCAGGATGTGCTTGAATCCATTCTTTCTCCATTTGGGTTCTCCTCCACTTTTCCAGCATCATAGAGGGATCATAAAAACATTAAATTAGGGTGATCTTGTTTTTACACAGGGAAATTTTTAATTCAAGAAATTCTCTATTCTGATTTATGAATCAGGGTGGAGGAAGTACAGAAGGAAGAAAAAGGAATCACTGACTGACTGTAATTATTGCATTTTCAGTCAGTGCACAAGCCTTAATCCTGATAGCACTCCCCCTCAGAAGTATTCACTAAATGAAAAAGTAAATGTGATAGTTTTGAAAAGTGTCTTTAAAGCAACATTTCCTGCAGATAAAAATCTGTGCATATCTGAGCATTGAGGACATTTTGAGGTCAACTGGGAAGCGAACAAAAAAAGGTTTAATTCAGTGGTCAAATGGGTAACTGAACATAAAATACATCCAAGCAGAAATCTCTGAACATTTGCAGATGAAGGACCAGTTTGCTAAAATTCATCTTAAATCTGCAAGTTTCAAGCAGTAAATTAAGGGTTGTTTTTCCATCATCCAGGTATTGCTGTTGTCTGGAGCAAGATTGATTGAACATCAAGATATTATCACTCTGTGTGTGTGTGGACTTTGGGGTAAATTTTGTGTTTCTCTCCCCACTTGAAAGCTCTACTAGAAGAGAATAGCTGGAATTATGCCACTTGCCAACATATTTGAGGAAGTCTGAGGAAAACAAGCTGACCTTTTATGTGCCACTGAAAGCAACAGGATGAGTCTCCCCTTCAGAGCAGAAACAGCTTACAGCAAAGTCAAATAAAATTAAGTCCTTAAGCCACAAGTCCCAGAAGGTGCCTGATCACTCTCTCCATGAGAATTCCCATCTCTTTCAGGGCTGTTGGATCAAGTACTCTTAGAGGAAGAAACATGGAAGGAAACTTGGATATTTAGGATTGTTCTACTACCTTAGAAAGAAGGAATGGGGATGAATATTTCTCCTACATCAACTTTCCCTACTCAAATAGACCCTTTCTAATTTGCTGTGGCACAATGGAGAGGTTCTGAAGTGGGTTGCGTTAATCACAGTTTTTTGAATTATTTGGCCATACTCATAAAATATAAATAATAGCTGAAAAACTGGGCCTTGATTTATTGCCTGAAATCCAGATCCACAAAGTGACTTGTTCTCTGCTGAAATCCAGGCTGTTATTGCCTCATAAAATGGGGCATCTATCTCCTCTCTGTAATTTACTGACTACCTAAAAATGAATAATAGAACAACACCGACCTGTGACTGCTGCCTGTGGGCCCAGATCTGCAGCCCTTCCCATGGCAGAGCTGCCATGGGAGCCAGGATTAAGTATTCCAGGAGAAGACTTCAGTAGTGCTAAAATGAGATTTATTTTCATATGACTGGTTTAAAATACATACGTTTGACAGTGCTGAGGCCATTATTTTCCCCATTAAAGGAATATCATTGTTTATGGAGTGCTTAAATCCATGTTTATGATGTTCACCCTCCCCTGTGCCACAAGAGTCAACTGCAAGGAGACAGAGAGAGGGGAGAGCAAAGGCATTTCTAGCGTATATCCTGGGGAGTCACCTTTTATTTCTTGTGTGATCAGCTCAGAGAAATGTTCCCCTCCCTCCAAACCCTTTATGAAGCTGCTGCAGAGTGAAACAAAGGGAGCAGTGGCTCCTTATCCAAATGAAAGAATGGATGCTGTAGTCGTCTGCTGGGTCTGTCAGTTAACATTGTGCATTTCTTCTGTTGGCTGCTTAAAAACGGAGTTTGTTTCCGAAGCTCAGGGACAATGCCAGGCTAGAAATACTTCAGAGACCAAGATTAGAATTCAAAATCACCTTGATGAACTAGTACAAGAAAGAAAGAAAAAAGAAAGTGATTCAGTGAGACAAGAACAAAACGATACAGTTGAGTTTGGACTTACTCTGACCTTGTGTGAATCACCAAAGCATGAAGTCTCAGGTCTGATTTGGTCATCTAGATCCCTTACAGTTAATGAATACTGACTCCTCAAGGAAGAAACAACCTTCCTGTGTAAGATACCTGTCAGAGGAAGGAGTAGTATTGGCCTTTAAAATAGATAAGTCTTTCCAGGATGACCACTGAGACCAACAAGCTTATTTATGCCACTGCTGGATTCCAGCTACTCTACAGCTGGTGACAACAGAGTGAATCACACCCATTGTTTTGTAACTTGGGAGATACGAGTAAAGAAGTGACACCCTGGGCAGCAGTTTGTCAGTAAAGGACTGGGGGGATTAGAGTGGATCAAGAGCTTAACAGGAGTCAGTGTCATGCTGTCACAAGGAAGGGAGGACATCAGAGCTACTCCTTCCATTCTGCTTAGCCCTGGAAAGCTGTCAGGTGAACATCTGCATTCATTTCTGGGCATGGAATTTCAATAAAAATGTAAATCAACTGGAGAGGGGCCAGAAGGCAGCCCCGGGGGTGATCAGAGGTCTACAGCACACGGCCTTCAAGGGAACATTGACAGAGATGGAATCGGTTTTGCTAAAAATGGTGAAAATTGAGACAAAAGACGTGACAGCAAAAGTTTAGTTGGACCTAAATAAAATCTTTCAGTTAGTGAGGATGGTTAAGTAGCAGGTAATGCTGCCTGTAAGCTGGTTTAATCTTGACCCCTGGTGAATTTGATAAACATAATGTTTAGTTATAGATGAGATCATTACAGGAAGGGAAACAGTTCAGTGATACCGTTGGAGGATTATATTTTATAGGGAGTGAAAAAGAGTTTGTTTTATGCTGTGTTGCCAAAGGGGTTTATTCATCCACCTAATAAGGATGTGTTTATTACTGAAAGTTCAGTCATTACTTTTAAGCCCTTTCCCTTCGATCTGCTTCCTTGCACACAGGAGTGTCTGTACTAGTGTTTAAACTGCTTGTGCTCGTTTTTCAGATCACCTTCCAATTAACAAAATTCTCTGAGGCCACAGTCCACAGGCTGAACAACATGACTGGACTACATGACCTCTTGAACTACCTTTTAGACCTGTCTTACTGCAAGGTCGGATTCAGTAAAAACACTCAAGAGTCTCTTTCCACCAATGGCATCACACATCTTCTTAACTTCAACATGTGCTAAAGGGCTTCAATCAGTAGGAGACTAAACCCACAGTAATTGGGTGGTGAATCAGCCTGCACATTTGATCTGTGTATGTAAAAAAGGTGAATGCAAAATTCCCTGCTCATGTCCAAAAAATGGCTATTTCTGGACTTTTATTGCATTTTTAATCCCTCTAAATGTTTCATCTTTATAGATTGCATTATTTATATATTATGATCCTTGTCATCCCCTCAAGCTGTGTCAGGACACTGCTTCTCCCTGTACAAAATAAATTGCTTATAAAATTTTCCTTCAGGGGAGCTCAGACACAAATAGTAATGTGCACTCCTTCCAAGTCACAGATAACAGGCTGATAAATTGTTGTTCTTAGCACCTGTATTGAATTTCTTGCCCTGAAGGATATGCATTCCTGTGCATAATAAGGTGGCTTGTTATAAAACAGAGACTGCTTGAGGAGAGAGTTATCTCACCTAACTTTGGACAACTAATTTTGACGTGCCTAGCCTAAATTAGTTACCAGGTTTCCCAAATACTCAGAGGAGAAAGAGAAGCACTTCCAGCAGGTGTTTTAGCACAGCTAAATTATCCTCTGGAGATGCCTGACAGAGATCACAACTAACTTAGACATCTTACTTTATTTCTTAGAGTGTGCTGGGAATACACCCAAATCTTAAAGAAAGATTGTTCCTTAGCTTTGTCAGATGGCTTGGCATGTGGGAGTTAGTAGTTATATTAAGGTTTCACAGCTAGAAGCTCCCAGACCATTGATTTTAATGGAACCATGTGAATTTATAACCTAAGGAATCCAGCTCTATTAGCTTTCTTCTTCCATGTCTGATTCCAGCTGGATCTCGTGCACTAGCTCATGTATCTGCTCCATGAAGAAACATTTTTTTCAAAGATAGATCTCCACAGATCAGGAAATTCCAACAGTAAGGCTAGAAAAATACCCTCAATTCTTATCTTTCAGTCTTCTTGACCAATTTACTTTCACAATCATCAGCTTTAGCCAGATATATTTCACAGGGGGCCAAAATCATAAAGGTTTAAAAATCATGAGAAGAGGTGACAAGAGAGAAGAGAGATCCCATCAATGCCCCTGTCCAGAGAAAGGTGTAGTATCTGTTCATCCCTAATTAGAGAATCCATATATGGAAGGGGCTTTATAAAAATCCCAAACACTGGAAAAAGTCTTAATAAAGCCTTATGCTTTATTAGGTAACCAAGAATGTAGGACCCAAGTGAAGTAGAAAATAAGCTTCAACAGCTCCACTGCCCCAGGCATAGCCTGTTTGTGCATGTTTTCCATGTTTGTCTATGTATATAAATAACATTAATTCATCTTGGAGGGAACCTGGCTTTCTGCACAGAGGCACAGATTCAGGTTTCTGCAGACTTTCAGATGGGAAAACTGCCTTTCTTTGAAAAACATTTTTCAGGAATTGGGATGCTGAGACAAATTAAAGCATGGACAGATTGAAGCTGAATAAGAGCGTAGAAAGAGTGAGGACCAGACAGAGAGACCATACAGTAAGAGATTAAAAAAATACTTTCTGCTGTTTTCATTGCAGCATTATCTTGATCATGAAGGTGTAAAACATGCAAAAATTTAGGATCTGGTTACCAATCTGGGTGGTTGGATACTCCTACCTGGTATGGCCTCTGAGCCCTCACAGTTCTGCTGCTTCATCAAGCCATTTTAGCCTTGAATCCCCTTTGTTACTCAACACTATTAATTTTACCCCTCTGATGTTCACTGTAAAACTCCATCTCAGTAGGAGTTCAGCACCTCT